GCACAGCCTAGATCTCAGGAACATCCAACCCTTCTGCTGTCATAACTTCTGAATGTTGTAAGAATTCTTACTGATTTCATTACTGACTGGATTGAATAGATTTAAAACTGGAAATCATATAGGTTTTTTTTCTCCTGCTCAAGTGACAACACACCCCTCTCATCAAGCCCAGCTCTTTTTTTTTTTTTTTTTTTTTTTTTTTTTGTATTTTTAGAAGAGATGGGGCTTAACCATGTTGGCCATGACTTCATGATCCGCCCAAAGTGCTGGGATTACAAGTGTGAGCCACCACACCTGGCCTTAAACCCAGCTCTTGCTGGGGAAGAAGAGGGTTCTTTCCTGTGCTTTCCTCTGGCTCTCTGTGTACTCTTACCCCTGGCATCTGGGAAGTAGAGTCCTTGTCCCCTTTCAGCTACTAAATAGCTTTGGGATCCTTGCAAAAATGACTTTCCTTCGGCTTCCTCATTAAAAAAACAAGGCAGGCACGATGGCTCATGCCTGTTATCCCAGCACTTGTGGGAGGCCAAGGCGGACAGATCACCTGAGGTCAGGAGTTCAAGACCAGCCTGGCCAACATGGAGAAACCCCATTTCTACTAAAAATACAAAAATTAACCGGCACGGTGGTGGGCACCTGCAATTCCAGGTATTCAGGAGGCTGAGGTGAGAGAATCGCTTGAACCCAGGAGGCAGAGGTTGCAGTGAACCGAGATCACACCACTGCACTCCATCTCAAAAACAAACAAAAACAAGCAAACAAACAGGCAAACATTTAACTGAGTGATTTCTCAGGCCCCTTCAGGGCAGGGCTAGGAGGTCAGATGGCCTTGGTGGGGCCATACTGGGCTGCTGCAGATGGTATCAGGGAAGTGAAAGTTCGGCTCCTGAAACAGCTGTGCCTTGCTCAGGCATGGCCGTAGGCCGTTCCTTGTCCCCATCTGGGGTCCACTGCTGACTTTTTAGCTGGTCATGTTTCCTCGTTTGGCATCCTCAGAACCATTAGGCCCCGGAGGCTTCCGGATGTCTTTAACAATCAGAGCCAGATTTCCTAGGCAATGCCCACCCCATGCAAACATTCTTATTTGTTACAGCACTGCCCTCAGAATGTGCAGGAATGAGTTCTAAAGGACAATGCCGGCTGGGCCCGGGGCCACGCTTCCATTCCACACACCCCCTCACACCATCTCACTCCAACCTGTGACGCAGGATGGGGCAGCATGGTTATTCCCATTTTAGAGACAGGGAAGCTGAGATGCCAAAGCCTGGAATGAACCACCCAAGGCGATGGCAGCCTTTTGGGGCAGAACTGGGACTAGAACACCTTCACCCCCCACTTCTTACTCACTTACCCACCCTAGCTCCAGCTAGCTGAGCTCAGGCTTGGCCCCGGCCCAGCAATCCCAGTTACACAACTGATAGCGGGCATGTACTCAGCTAGAGAGTATAAATAGACCCAGTGCCTTGCCGCTGAAAATTTATGATTCAAAAATCACAAGGTTTTACATTGAGTAACCAGATGTCTTTAGAAATGTGGCAAAGGAGTGATAGCACAGAACCAGCTCGTTTCTATGACTTTGTTTATTTGCATGTTTTTAATTTGTCACCTGTGTCTGGCAACAACGCATGTAGAAAGCTGTCCTAAAAAAAGCTATTCACCAGGGATGACACGTTGGTGGCACGTGCCCTGAGGAGTCCCTGGGGATGTCTGTGGCATGTTTCAACTCCATCACAGCTCTGCCCACTTAGCCCAGATGAGCCTCGGAATCTTCCCTAATCCAGCACTCTGCCCAGACACGTATCTGACAGGGAATTTCAGCTTGTGGGCCAAATTTGATTTGCTGTCCCTGCTATACATTTCAGGGTCCTTATTCCAGGGAATGTGAAATTCAGGTTGTTTGCCCTTTCAGGGAGCTTCAGCTTGGTGACCTTACACTTCTCTCCATTCATGCCCTCACCTCACCCCCCCAAACAAGGGCTAGGGGCAACGAGCTGCAAGGAAGTGCCCAGCACGGCTGGAAACAAGTTACGCCCCTGAGGTCCGTCAAACCTTGGCAGAATCGGCAGCAGTTGACTGTGAAAATTATTTCATTGGTAAGGCACTCCTTCCTGAATCCCTCTTAGGATTCCTGGGCAGAGATTCTTTGTGAAGGCCCCTCCCCCAGTGAAAGATCCTTACATGGCTCATCACCTTGAGAATTGCAGCTGTCTTGAAGATCCTTCCTGTGTCTGGGATGACTGAGTCTTGAAGGTGGAGTCAAGTTGCTTGGAAATGATGCATGGGGACATTTCGGCCGGGGTGAATGGTGAGGGAGGAACCCTGAGTGCCAGGCATGCTCTTTATCCCTCCTAGGATGTCCACATCCCTATCCGTTAAGTTAGTACATCTTAAAGGTCAACATGGGGTAAGTCTGGGATTAGGACCGGAAAGCAGCCACGAGCCCTGTGCTGGGGTGAGTTGCATTCCCCCGAAATTCCATGTCCACCCAGAACCTCAGAATACAGACTCATTTGGAAACAGGGTCTTTGATTACGTAATTAAGGGTGGAGATGAGATCACACTGCAGTCGGATGGGCCCTGGATCCAATGACAGTGTCCTTATAAGAGATACCGAGAAGAAGGCCGTGTGGCGACAGAGGCAGAGACTAGAGGACGCAGCTCCAAGCCCAGGCACACCATGGAAGAGGCAGGGGAAGATTCTCCCCTAAGACCTTCGGAAGGAGCGTGACTCTGCCAACACCTTAATATTGGATGTCTGATCTCCAGGATTCTGAGACATACATTTCTGTTATTTCAAGCTACCCAGTTTGTGGTCATCATTTCCAACAGCCTTAGCAAACTAATACCCTGTCCAAATAATACACCTACACCCAAGTCTTCACTCAGGTCCTGCTCTTGGGAGACAGGAAACCCAATCCAAGACAGTAGGTATAAGTACCCTCATATTACAGATGAGGAAACTGAGGCACGGCTTCACCCACAAAGCAGCTGTAGGACCCAAGCACCCAGCAGCTACGTTGTCGCTCAGTGAGGCTGAGCCCATTCTCTAAACTGTCTGCTGTGGTGCACCAGTGACCCTAAATGTAAACGGAAGGCGCATGGCAGCTTTGTCAGCTCAGCAGCCAAGCAAATGACCCCAGAAAAATGGGGGCAACCACAGGCCACTTGGTGCTGGAAATGGGGTCATAAAGACATAAAATTACCAGACCCTTTTTGTAAGCAGTGGTTGCAGTGAGAAAGCCCATGGGGCAGGGTGGGGGCAGGGAATAATCTCTTTCTTTACACCTTGGGGAAGCTGAGCTCCAACAGGCTCAGTCACCAGGTACTTTATGTCACATGCATGGTCATGGGTGGGAGGATTCAGTTCATCAGGGCATTTTGCCTGAGAAAATGACTTTAACAATTAATAGCTAGGGAAAAAACCACGAAGGGACTTTTTCCCATTGTTTGATATATTTTTCAACATAATACTTCTTACTAATTTTTGAGAGCTTCTGAATACAACCCATATTTCATCTTCAGGGAGAAAAATCCTCAAATCTTCTTGCCTTTTCCTTAATTTATAATTATTACGGAAAATAATAGAAAAGCATTAGCAACTTGGCCAGGCGCAGTGGCTCACACCTGTAATCCCAGCACTCTTAGTGGCTGAGATGGGCAGATCATGAGATCAAGAGATAGAGACCATCCTGGACAACATGGTGAAATGCAGTATCTCCTAAAAATACAAAAATTAGCTGGGCATGGTGGTGTGCACCTGTAGTCTCAACTATCTGGGAGGCTGAGGCAGGAGAATTGCTTGAACTGGGGAGGCAGAGGTTGAAGTGAGCTGAGATTGTACCACTGCACTCCAGCCTGGCGACAGGGCGAGACTTCATCTTAAAAGAAAAAGAAAAAAAGAAAAGCATTAGTAACCCATGTTATATGTTTACATAGACAAATTACTAGCTGATCAATAGTTCTTTACCCTCTTTGATAAAGAAAAATACCTTTTCTGGCCAGGGTGGCTCACACCGGTAATTCCAGCACTTTCTGAGGCTGAGGCGGGCAGATCACCTGAGGTCAGGAGTTCAAAACCAGTCTGGCCAACATGGTGAAACCCCATCTCTAATAAAACTAAAAAATTAGCCAAGTGTAGTGGCGGATACCTATAATTTTAGCTACTTGTGAGGCCGAGGCAGGAGAATCACTTGAACCTGGAAGGCAGAGTTTGCAGTGAGCAGAAATCGTGCCACTGCACTCCAGCCTGGGCAACAAGAGCGAAACTCCGTCTCAAAAAAGAAAAAAAGAAAAGAAAAATACCTTTCCCAATTAGCAAGTGTCTTTGTTGATGATGGTTTCAATCTCCATGGCATTGTTTACTCCTGTTTGGTGGCCAGGGAAGAAGCCATTTTCAGAGGACTGAGAGATTGTAGGCACAGCAGTCACCTGGCCCCCTGGGCAGCATTTGGGAAGATGTGGAATGGTGTGATCACAGGAGCGAGCTGAGCAGGTGGCTGGGCAGAGCATCTGACACTAGTGTCTATTCCCGCCATCTTCTCTGGGACAAAGCCCACTCGTGTCTCGTGCATTTGCCTCTTGGTTCCTAGTCCTAAGAACCACTCAGAGGCACCGCCGAGCTGAGGAATGTCCACACAGGCTGCCATGGGAGGCATTCAACCTGCAGAGGGTAAAATGCAGTTGGTGGAAGGTGGTCTCTGAGTTGGGAGAGAAGGTGCTGAGGCCTCCAGGTGCAGGTTTTGAAGAAAGGCAGTATATTCATATTTCATGCCATGACACACAAAGGATCAGTTGACCCGGGTAGGTTGAAGTCTTGTGACTGCCTGGTAGGCTCTCCTCCCCATCTCATAAACAGACAGTACTAAACAGAGGCACAGAACCTGGCTCAATTGCTGCTACCAGCTAAAATGTGTTCTAGATCGCTGAGAGCGCATCTGCCCCACAGGCACAGAGCCTCGCCCCTTGCCACTCCGCTGCCCGTCCACACCCGCCACCAGCTCACCATGGATGATGATATCACCACGCTCATCGTCAAAAATGGCTCTGGTACGTGCAAGGCCAGCGTGATGGGCAACAATGTGCTCCGAGCTGTCTTCCCCTCCATCGTGGGATGTCCAGGCACTAGCATGTGATGGTGGGCATGGAGCAGAAGGACCCCTAAATGGGTGGCAAGGGCCCAGAGCAAGAGGGGCTTCCTGACCCTGAAGTATCCCACTGAGCACAGCAACATCACCAACTGGGAGGACATGGAGAAGATCTGGCATCGCACCTTCTACAATGAGCTGCTTGTGGTTCCTGAGGAGCACCCTGTACTGATGACTGAGGCCCCCCTGAACCCCAAAGCCAACCATGAAAAGGTGGACCCTGTTTGAGACCTTCAACACCCCAGCCATATATGTGGCCATCCAGGCCATGCTGTCCCTGTACGCCTCTGGCCGTGCCACTGGCATTCTGATGGATTCCAGTGACAGGGTCACCCACACTGTGCCCATCTATGAGGGGTATGACCTCCCCCATGCCAACCTACATTTGCACCTAGCTGGCTGGGACCTGACTGACTACCTCATGAATATCCTCACTGAGCATGGCTACAGCTTCACCAACATGGCCAACTGGGAAATGGTGTATGACATCAAGGAGATGCTGTGCTATGTCACTCTGGACATTGAGCAGGAGATGGCCAAGGCAGCCTCCAGCTCCTCCCTGGAGAAGAGCTATGAGCTGCCCAGCAGCCAGGTCATCACCATCGGCAACGAGCGGTTCCACTGCCCCAAGGCACTCTTCCAGCCTTCCTTCCTGGGCATGGAATCCTGTGGCATCCATGAAACTACCTTCAACTCCATCAGGAAGTGTGATGTGGACATCCGCAAAGACCTGTATGCCAACACAGTGCTGTCTGGCGGTGGCACCACCTTGTACCCTGGCATTGCCGACAGGATGCAGAAGGAGATCGCCCCTGCGCCCAGCATGATGAAGAAATAAGATCACTGCTCCTCCCAAGCACAAGTACTCCATGTGGATCGGTGGCTCCATCCTGGCCTCGCTGTCCACCTTCCAGCAGATGTGGATCAGCAAGCCAGAGTATGACAAGTCCAGCCCCTCCAGCATCCACCACAAATGCCTCTAGGCGGATGTGACTTAGTTGCGTTACACCCTTTCTTGACAAACTTGAGCGGAAAACAAGATGAGATTGGCACAGCTTTGGTTTTGTGTGTGGGGGGGGGGGTTGGGTTTTTTGTTTTTTGTTGTTGTTGTTTGTTTTTGTTTTGGCTTGACTCGGGATTTAAAAACTGAAATGGTGAAGGTGACAGCAGTCGGTTGGAGCGAGCATCCCCCAAAGTTCTACAATGTGGCCAAGGACTTGGATTGTACATTGTTCTTTTTTTAATGATCATCCCAAATATCATGAGATGCATTGTTATAGGAAGTCCCTTGCCCTCCTAAAAGCCACCCCACTTCTCTCTAAAGAGAATGGCCCAGTCCTCTCCTGAGTCCACACAGGGGAGGTGATAGCATTGCTTTATGTAAATTATGTAATGCAAAACTTTTTAAATCTTTGCCTCAATACTTTTTGATTTTGAATGATCAGCCTTGTGGCTACCCCATTTTTGTTCCCCAACTCGAGCTGTATGAAGGCTTTTGGTCTCCCTGGGCGTGGGTGGAGGCCGCCAGGGCTTACCTGTACACTGACTGGAGACCAGCTGAATAAAAGTGCACACCTTAAAAAAAATTAATTAAAAAAATAAAATGGGTTCTAAGAAGTACCATTTTGTATTCTCGTGACATGCACCACACTTATACTTTATTTTCATGATTCCAGAACCATATTTTGATCAACTAGAGCGATTTATGGAATGCATTGGAAACAGAGGTTAACTCATTCCCTGGGTATCACATTTCCCAGGATACTGTGTGGAAACTCAGTCACCCCAGAAAGATGGTCCATTCCTAAATCAGAAGAGCCCCACGGAGCTGCCTGGGAAAAGGCCATATGCAGGGTGGGACACCAGGCAGGAGCACCAGGGGAGGGGCCCATTACTCAGTCAGGTCTAGATCTGTTCTAGGTAGTTAGACGGGCCTCAGTGGGACAGGAGAGGGCTCTCCCCCAACCCACTAGGAATATCAAGTGATGGTTCAGCAATTATCACATTGCTGCTCTAAAAATGATAATTGGGTAGCCAGGGAGAGACAATCTCTGGATGGTCCATACCTGTTAGCATTAAAAATGTTAATGGCCAAAACCCGGGATCAAACCAGGGACCTTTAGATCTTCAGTCTAACACTCTCCCGAGGTAGGTGAATCATGAGGTCAAGAGATCGAGACCATCCTGGCCAACATGGTGAAACCCCATCTCTACTAAAAATACAATAATTAGCTGCATGTCAAGGCTTATGTCTGTAGTCCTAGCTACTCGGGAGGCTGAGGCAGGACAATCACTTGAACCCAGGAGGCGAAGATTGCAGTGAGCAGAGGTCATGCCATTGCACCCCACCCTGGCGACAGAGCAAGACTGTCTCAAAAAAAGAAAAGAAAAGAAAAGAAAAGAAGTGTTAATTGGATGCAGACCCCAGGGAGAAGCAGCTTTTTGGGCACAGATGTTAAGCGACAAAACGGCAAAGTATGATGCTGGGGAGTGGGGCACACGCCACCAGAGAAAGGAAAAAGCCTCAGATGGGCAGTCATGTAACCCCCCAAACACACTGCACCTGCTCGGTTCCAAAGGGCAAGGAAAGCACTGCGCATGTGGAAAGCACACCCTGGGGGAAGATCCTGGGAAAGAGGCGAGCCTGAAGTTAAAGGGGCTCTTTTTCTCTCTTTGACCTTCAGGCGCTCACTTGGGTATCCTCCAAGGGTTCTTCCCTTTCTTTTCTGTTCTAAAACCTTTCCCATAAACTTCTATTCCTGCTCTTCTATTCCTCTGTCTCTTTTCCTACTTTATGGCCCTCAGTTGAATTCTTTCTTCTGAGGAGGCAAGGACTGAAGTTGCTATGGACCCATATGGATACCCTGTGGGTAACGGGGTAACTCGGATCCCTTCCACCATTAACAGATCCAGCCCTTCTACTGAACCAGCTCTCAGCTGACACACATCGCTAGTTAGCTCACCCCCGTGATGGGCGGGCTGTGTTCTGCGATCACCCAGGTCTCAGCTGAGACACATTGCTAGTTAGCTCACCCCCGTGATGGGCGGGCTGCGTTCTGTGATCACCCAGGTCTCAGCTGAGACACATTGCTAGTTAGCTCACCCCCGTGATGGGCGGGGCTGCGTTCTGTGATCACCCAGGTCTCAGCTGAGACACATTGCTAGTTAGCTCACCCCCGTGATGGGCGGGCTTCGTTCTGCGATCACCCAGGTCTCAGCTGAGACACATTGCTAGTTAGCTCACCACCGTGATGGGCGGGCTGTGTTCTGTGATCACCCAGATTTCATCTATTTCTAATGTTTCCCGATCCTGTTACCCTGTTCACTTGGATGGTTCAAAACTCTTCTTAGCTCTTAAAAGCTGGTAAATTAAAAAGAAAACTTACAAATGGCCAGCCTCTTCTGTCCTGAATAGTAAGCTTGTAAAACAGCCCCTTTTCCTGGGGATAGAGATCACAGATCAGTTAGAAATATAGGTCTAGCCATTCAGTTTGGGAGAGGACTGAAAACCACCTGCAGGAAGGCTGTTGAAGAAGATGAGGCACTGTGGATTTCCCCTCCATTAATTTTTCACAAAACTATAGGATAATCATCGTGTTGTCTAATATATGACCGTGTCACCTGCAACTGGGAGAGGGCAGGAGAGAAAATGACTACCCTCAGCTTCCAATTATGCTATGATAACAGTTTAAATTTTATTGAGTAAATAATTATCTCTGTGGGTTTAACAAAAAACAAAAAACACAGCACAACACCCATTAGTCATCTGAGGTAAAACTGAAATATACATTTAACACATGCGCTTCTTATTCAGTGCCCTGATTCAGAGCAAGGCATGAGCGATTCATACCTCCAGGAGGGTAAATGACTAGCTCTTTTGGTAAACTGGGTTTTTGTTTTCATTTCCTGTTAGATTCTTTGTCTTCAGTTTTTAATTTATTTTGAACCAAAGGCAAGAACAAAGTGGGGTATGTGGGTTTCTCATCATGATCTATTCGAGAATTTGGCGTGTGTCCAGGGGGGTTCATGCAGGGCCGGGTTCAGAAGGAAACACAGTACATGAATGTTGCTTGGAAGATGTAGAGAGGCAGACGGCAGAGCTTTGGACACACTGATTTATCCTGAAAAGCAGCGGCTAGTAAGCCCTCTTCTAATGTGCGCCGGGTCAAAAGCAAAGGCTGTGGGGACAGTATTAGGAGATAAAATCCTGAGATAAAATTGAGGGGTGAGTGATATTTTCCCTATTGATTCTAAGAAGTCAAATCAAAGCCTTATGTGTGTGGCTGGCATCAATTTCGCAGACTACTTGCCCAGTGATGACAGTTTTCTCTCTCTTTCTCTCTCTCTCTCTCTCTCTCTCTCTCTCTCCTTTTACTTTCTTTTTTAAAAAATCTTTATCCTTTTTGGGGTGGGACAGGGTCTCACTCTGTTGCCCAGGCTGAGTGCAGTGGCAAGATCATGACTCACTGCAGCCTTCACCTGCCAGGCTCAAGTGATCCTCCCACCTTAGCCTCCTGACTAGCTGGGACCACAGGTGTGTACCACCATGCCCAACTAAATTTTTAATTTTTTTGTAGAGAGGGGGTCTTGCTGTGTTGCCTAGGCTGGTCTCAAACTCCTGGATTCAAGAGCTCCTTCCACCTTGGCCTACCAAAATGTTGGGATTACAGGTGTGAGCCACTGTGCCAGACAACTGTTCTAACTAGATAACGAAGGGATGGGGTACTTCCAGGGTGCTGGCCCCTTATGTAGGCTTTCCTATCATGGAGTCTCTCTTGGCTCATGACAACATCTGGATTCTCTTGCCTATGTGGTACAGGTTTAGGCAGCTAAAATTGCCTTGGGCAAGAAATGAAGGTGATTATGAGGACACCACTCTAGAAAGAACCCTTTTGTCTTGGTTGTCTGCTAAGTTAGTCTAGTTCCTCATGGGAGAAGAAGGATTTTGGGCTTCCTTCAGCTTTATTGGCCAAGCCATCTCACTCTGGCTTGAATCTCCTGGGGGTGCTGTGAATTGATTGCTGAGGGTCTGCTGTGAGTGTTGGCTGCTAGGGGCTTAGAGCTACTCCATTAAACTGTCCTGGCACAGGTGGGTTATCTGCCTGGGGGGCTTACTCCTGAAACACGTGAACCACCTGCTCCTGCAGGCAGCAGTTTGTGAGCAGAGGATAACTTTTGCTTGGGTACAATGACGACACAAAAGGCCATCCCCTTGTGTCAAGATGGGACAACTACCAGGTGCAGTTCGTTTTCTGGAGCTCCCCGTGGGACTCGGCTGGAGCCAGTCTCCACTGAGGACCACATCCTTAACTTGCTTCCCTTGCCCTACGCTGTTCCCTCACTCTCCACAGGGCAATGCTCCCCCACTCAATTAGGTTCACAAAAATCCTCCTCTTAGCTCTGGTTCTAGGAAACCGACCTAGGACAGTCATATAGTTTGGCTCTGGTCCCATCCAATCTCATCTCGAGTTATAATCCCCATGTGTTGAGGGAGGGACCTGGTGGGAGGCGATTGGATTATGGAGACAGTTTCCTCCAGGCTGTTCTCGTGATAGTGAATGAGTTCTCACGAGATCTGATGGTTTCATAAATGGCAGCTCCCCTGGGCTCATCTCTCTCACCTGCCTCCATGTAAGACATGCCTGCTACCCCTTCTGCCATGATTGTAAGTTTCCTGAGGCCTCTTCAGCCATACAGAATTGTGAGTAAATTATAACTTTCCTTGATAAATTACTCAGTCCCAGGGAAGTTCTTTACAGCATGTGAAAACAGACTAATACAGGGGGCTTGTGGGAAGGCAAGATTCATTGTCTCCACCCAAAAGAGGAATTCATTAGGCCTGAGTGAGGCTTTGGAGGTTGCAGTTTTATTAAGCACACAGGTGATTCTGATGAACATGCGCCCAGGACCACACCTGGGGAAACACATACCTAATGAAGTGAGCCAAGGATTAGTCTCCTGAGGGCTAGAGTCTGTGTCAACC